TGGGATCTAAATGTTATTTCGCCAATTCCAACTCCACTTTTTGATGCTATGCCATGTCTCTCTATTGACGGTTCCAATGTTTTCTTAGTCGGTGGATTATCAATGGACACACAAAATTCATCAATTACTTATCCACCATCATTTGTCTATGAATTTGATTTAATAATTTACAATGAACGACTCCGGATATTGATGATTTTAATAAAACTTTTGTAGGACGTAAAGATGCAAAGGCTGTTGCTGACAATAATGGAAACTATTACATTTTTGGTGAATATTTAGTAAACTTAACAATAATAAACTCTAATTCTACAACAAAGACTTATTTTTATTATAATGACATGAATATATTTGACACAAAAACAATGAAATGGTCAACGTTAATTTTGTCTAATGCCCCACTTGCTCGTGCAACTTATAGTGCCGTAATAAAAGACAATCTTATATATTATATTGGTGGTACAAGCAATTCCTCTATTATTGATATAACTGAGGTATTTGTAATTTACGATTTTTAGAAAACTTTCAAATTTATATGTTGTATATTTATATGTTGTATAATAATAATTGAATTAAATCAAGTAGATTCCTGTATTTGATACTACGAATTTAAAATGGTTACTTATGGTACGTATTACATACTTGCTACACGTGATATAATAATTTAAAAGAACATATCCTTGTTTTTTTTAGAATGCTAAGGGTGATGCAATTATTGCTCGTACTGGGCATTCGGCTGTTTTATGTATGCTTTAAAATAATGTTTATACAGTTAATTAATTATTATTATAATTATTTATAATTATATATAATATTATTATATTTTTAAATAGCTCCAGATGGACTTATTATTATTTATGGCGGACAAGGAAAAAATGGCCTTCAACCACAACCTGATGTTGCTTTATTAAATGTAGGTGTTTCACCGTATATGTGGACTGTTATTAAGGATAAAGCTCCACAAGGACTCATGCTTCATTCAGCGACAATATATGGAAGATATATGATCGTGGCATTTGGTAATAATAACATTCTAACTTGGATTGGCTCAGTGCTCAAGATTAATTTAAGTATAACAAAACTTTAGCGAACTATAATTCTCTAATGTTGTATTATATATTAGATTAATCCATTTGGTGTACTAATTTTATAATAAAATTTCTAACTCAATTATTTAATTTTGCTCTACGTCTAGGCATGGTTGTTTCTTCACAACCAGATTCATCATCGACATTCAATAGTGATTTATATATCTTAAATACACAAGATTATAAATGGATTAATTATTTTGATGCATCAAATATATATGGTCCTAATAATTCACTTTCATTAGGTGCAAAGATTGGTATTTGTATAGCTGTAGTGGTTGCTCTTGTTGTCATAATGATTGCTGGATTTTTCATTTATAAGAAATTTCGTGTTCGCAATAATTATCGCAATTCTGTTCCAACCCCTGGCACATCACATATCGATATATAGCTTATTAAATGTTTAATTTTTTTATAAATACACCAGAATTATTATTAAATACAGTAGTTCTTAATATAATTATTTATTTGCTTTGTTAATTATTTTAACATTGTAATAGCAATCTATTTGTATTATTCGAGTATGTATCCCTTATATAGAAAGAATAATTTATGTTTATAATAAGATTAATGGTTACATAATGTTAGAAAATGATAGAAACAGAGAAAGTAATCTAAACGAGAATTTAAACATCTAGGATTTTGTAAACTTAAGCGTTGTAAGTCGAAATCAAATTTTATTGACATAAGTTGCACCGAAATTCTGAATTCAATTTCTACTTAAAATGTTGATTGTTAATAAAAACTTATTCTATTAGATATTATTCTTTTTTTTTTTTTTTATCAGGTTTTGGAAAATCATAATATCGAGTTTAGTTCAAGTTGAATGTTTTAGCAATTACATGCAATACTCACTACAAGGCGCTGAGTAAATTCTAGAATTAAATTCTATCAAAAGCTATAAATGCATGAAACAAAAGGTAAAAAATCAAAAATATTTAAGGTACAAATTTGTAAAATCAAGCTCATAAGAAGCCCGATGTAATTTGAAATTTGGCTTGAGACATTATAAAGAGTCGTGTTTTAGAATTATCTTTCTTTTATCAGAAATGATCATTATTACATTCGTTTGTAATCTTAAATATTAACTAAAGATGTTCAGAATCAACCTTAAGTTAATCCAAAGCTTCCCGATAATCCGAATAGATTTATAATTTCATTTCAACTTAAAATCCACTTAGGAAGATTCCAAATTTAGTGAGATTCTATTCGATGCGCAACATATGCGATCATAATAGATTCTTTGTTCATGACCGATTTAATTTCAATTTAAATCTTTCAAGAACATAGTTTTCAGCTTCTATATTTAATATCTTAAATATTTGCAAGATTTTACATACATATCTGTGAGAATCCTATATAAGTGATTCTGTATTCACATCTGAATTAATTTTAAATATATGTTACATAATTTTTGATATTATTTTCAATTTAGCAATACTATGTAATCTTCGACCTATCAAAGAATTTGTAATATTATATAATTTCAAAACTTAATATCGAATAATTAATAATGGATTGATGAATTATGATTCAACTTTATTATACGTATAAAGCTTTTTTTTATATTTATTAATAGACGCTCGTTTTATCTTTCTGACAAATAAAAAAGCATGTTGGCGAATTAGAACAGTGACGAGCTTACCAAAAAAAAGGTTTTTATTAACGTTTTATCGTTGTTTTCATTGTTGTACGTACAACTATTTTTGTATATCTTGAGATATTGATTTAGCTTATACGTACAGTACCGTACGTACGACATAAATAAAAGTTTATTTTATACAACCGATAATATTGAATATGAACGAAGGAATGTCAATCGTATATTTAGAACTTGGATATGATTATAGAGATGGATTAGGAGTAGAAAAGGATGAAATTAAAGCGTTTGAATATTTTCAAAAATCAGCAGAATTGGGTAATGCTGAAGGAATACGTGAAATTGGTTTTAGTTATCGAAATGGTATCGGAGTGGAGAAAGATGAATATAAAGCTTTCTTTAATTATAATAAATCGGCAGATATGGGTGATGCTCTTGGAACAAGTAATGTTGGATATTGTTATGAAAAGGAATTGGAGCTGAAAAGGATGAATATAAGGCATTTAGTTATTATGGAATTGGAGTTGAAAAGGATGAACATAAGGCATTCAGTTATTATCATAAATCTGCAGATATGGGTGATGCTCTTGGAACGTTCAATGTTGGATGGTGCTATGATGAAGGAATTGGAGTTGAAAAGGATGAATATAAGGCATTCAGTTATTATAAAAAATCTGCAAATATGGGAAATGCTCTTGGAACAAGTAATGTTGGATATTATTATGAAAAAGGAATTGGAGTTGAAAAGGATGAACATAAGCATTCGGTTATTTTCAACAATCTGCAGATATGGGGAACGCTAGTGGAACATATAATGTTGGATATTGTTATTATTATGGAATTGGAGTTGAAAAGGACGAACATAAGGCATTCAGTTATTATAAAAAATCTGCAGATATGGGGAATGCTAAAGGGACATTTAATGTTGGATGGTGCTATTATGAAGGATTTGGAGTTGAAAAGGATGAACATAAGGCATTCAGTTATTATCAAAAATCTACAGAGATGGGTGACGTTGATGGAACATATAATGTTGGTCATTGTTATGAACATGTGATTGGAGTTGAAAAGAATGAAGAACAGGAAGCATTTGATTATTACAAAAAATCTGCTGAGATGGGTGATACTGTTGGAATGACATCTGTAGCACGATGTTTTCGTAATCGAATCGGTGTGGATATGAAGATTCAAACTTCAAATTATTGGTACCAAAAGTAAGAAAAATTTACGATATTTTTTTCACATTCTTATTTTTAATCTGATTAATTATAAATTAGGGCGAGAAATTTGATTAAAGGTATTCTACTTCTATACTTTTTGCAAATGTAATAATTTGAGATGTGTTTTAATTCGGGTTTTTTATTTAGTAAATTATGAGTTTGTATCAAATATGCTTAACATTGATAATGATTTGAAAAAAATGTCGATTGAATATATATCAAATACCATTTATTCCTTATAAAGAGTTTAAAAATATTGAAGAAATAGGAAACGAAAAATTTGCGACTGTGTATCGAGATGATTGGCTTGATAAAAGTAGGAGATTAAATATAACTGTTGCGCTTAAAATGCTTAAGTTAAATAATCTTGAAGAATTTACGAAAGAGTTAAAAGTATATAGTGATATAGGGAATGTGAATCCATCATTCTTAAATTGCTATGGTGTGACGAAAAAGGATGATGAGCATATTCTTGTTCTAGAATATGCAAGAATGAGATCTTTGAGCAAAAATCTTGCGGAAATAGCTCAGTTGGATTGGGGAAAGAAATTAAAATTATTGCATTGCATTGCCTCTGATCTTTCTGTGATCCATTCCCAGGGATACATTCATCGAGATTTACATAGTGGAAATATTTTGCAAGACAATTTACATAGTGCATATATTGCAGACTTGGGTCTTTCAATTCAGTATCTGGAACAAAGTGAAATAAGATTTACGGAGTTTTGCCTTATATCGCTCCGGAAATTTTGAATGAAAAAGAAATATATCACAGCATCGGATATTTATTCATTTGGCATTATTATGTGGGAAATTTTATATGGAAAAACTGTGTCTTATGATCGTAAATTTAGTGAACGGCAACTTCAAATAAGTATATGTATTAAAGATCAGAGACTGCCAGTTAATAAAGAAACATTGCAATGTTACGTGAATTTGATGAAGAAATGTTGGGACAAGGAACCAGAAAATCGACCATCGTCTAAAGAACTTTGTGAAATTTTACAGAAATGGAAAAATGATAAAAATATTTGGACGGAATTGGATGAGGCTAAAATAAAGCTTGAAAATACTGAAGAATTATATGTGAATATGTTTAGTGGAGGAAGTAAACTCTTTCCTTCTACCAAATCTATCTTGGATGAAAAATTCACGGATATAGAATTACAAGATATTACTGTCGAAGATATTATCCAAAAACTGGAAATTGCAAATGAAGGTTCAGTTTCAATTAATAATTAGGTATACTGTAGCAAGTAATATAATAATATGAAATTGCTAATATTTTTGCCAATTTTTGATAATTTGACAATGTTCTTATTTCAAAGTAAAGTTTTTAAAAGATAAATAAAAATCATCACATAATGCCTGAATATATTTATTAATAATGTTGATTAGTCATTGGCTTTCAATTATTGTCGTGACTGGAGCTGGAAGCAGGGACATCGATTTAAAAATATAAACCTAATCTAATTATAAAAAAAGGGTTATATTAAGAAAATTAATTAGTCTACACGTAGTGTTTGTACACGGCTATAATTTATTGAATTATAACTTCGCGTAGCATGGTATCAAAACAATTTTACAAATGAAAAATTAAATCCTTGCTTATGGTTAGGGTAAGGGTGGGTCTGGGATTGGGCAAGATATACAGTAGCTTATTATACCAAAATTGTGCAGGAAATTTTTTGTTGTTAAAAACCAAAAGGTGATCTCATAATCAAAAATTTGAGATATTGGTTGGTTTTTATATTGCTCGTGTACATACATCCCGTGTACAATTAGAAATTCTCTTATATTAAAATGCGTAAAATTTCGAGTTTAGCCACAATTATTTTTTGTTCGTAGCTTTTAGCCTTACTTCGCTCAGCTTTTTTCAAACCCAATTTACGATTTTTTTACAGAGCTTATTTTAAACTTAACCCTTTTTTTACAGACATTCGGTAATAATATCGTGTCATATCACAAAATTAAATCTTAGTCATGTTACAATTTACGTGAATACGATTAAATTTGCAGTAAACGCACGAGATAACGAATTTTTGCGTAGTGAATATTTTGAAAAAATCGTAATCATAAATGTTTCTGAACATAATAATTTCTCTTCTGATAACCAAAGATTTCTATATATCAAAGGCATTAGGTCAGAATGTGGACTTCACTATTTTGCGTTTAATTGTAGAAATGTATATTCTTTCATAAGGATATTTTATTGTAGACTTCGACAATCAATTATTATCAATTGATCCGTTTGGTAAAAATTCGCAAAAAAAAAGTCAAATCTAATAAGGAAATTAATTAACAATTAAATGAGCATTCTTTATCGCTTCAATGTTGCCCTTTGATTTTAAACACAGACATAGCAGTAATAATGTGACTAGCGATTGCAAATATCCTAAAGATTTTATAAAAAAGACGGAACTTTTTGGAATTGGACCTAAATTAAGAACCCCGAATTACTATGTGATTATCGAATTATTAATAATTATTACATATTAACCACATGACGCACCTATCAAAATAATTCTCAAATCTAATAAAACTAATGTAATTATTGCGTCAAACCCATCTCCCCACCTTAAAACCCATCTCTTATTTTTTAAAGTCAATCTATTTATGGTATATTTATTTATTAAAAAGTTTTAGTAATTAATAAAATTCAAGATATTTTTCTGTTTTAAGTAACTCCAATGGTTATCTTTTTGAAATTTGAATGTAATATATGTGGAAATTTGTATAAAATAAATAGAAGATTAAGGGTAGGGGGCAGTAATTCAAAATTATATATAAACCTAATGGTAAATTTTTTTATATTTAATTTTATGAAAAACTATATTAAGTAACCTAATTTTAATTATTAAGTAAAAATTGTAGAGTAGGTCTTTCTGATTCTAATGATTGTAAAATT